CCCCAACAGATCCATCGCATAGTGGAGCACGCCCTAAGCGGCTTCCAACTTAATAAATATAAAACTATTGCAGTCTTCTTCGACGTCGCCAAAGCCTTCGACAAGGTTTGGCACGACGGATTAATCTTTAAATTATATCAATTAAAATTACCTGACCGCCTAGTTAGGTTAGTAGCCTCTTTTCTATCAAACCGCACCTTCCGCTATAGATACGAAGGTTCACTATCAACGCCCCGCCCACTACGAGCCGGTGTACCGCAGGGGTCCGCTCTCTCCCCCCTGCTATACACAGCGTACACCAACGACATCCCTCAGACCAAGGGTGTCGAGCTCGCTCTCTTCGCGGACGACACGGCCCTCTACTCTAGGGGAGTCAGTACCAATCAAATCATAGCCAAGCTCCAACCGGCAATCACAACACTTGGGAATTGGTTCCGCGATTGGAGAATCGACGTAAATCCGGACAAAAGTTCGGCCATTTGCTTCGATCCCAAGCGCCGCACCAAAACCATACAACACGGTGCGCGGTCTCTGCGAATGCAAGGCATAGCAATACCGTGGCACCGCACAGTCAAATACCTAGGGATTACACTAGACAAAAAACTCACCTTCCGTGCACACATCACACGCGTAGTCGCGAACGCGCGCTTTTATATGAGCCGCCTCCACCCGATGCTCGGTAAATACAGCAAAATGTCACTTCGTAACAAGCGAACGCTTTACAAAGTTTGCATACGCCCGGTCCTCACTTACGCGTCACCAGTGTTCGCACACGCGGACGAAGCGATTTTGAACAAACTCCAAGTGCTTCAAAATCGCTTCTGCCGCATAGCCACAGGGGCCCCGTGGTACGTCCGCAACGCGGACCTCCACAGGGACCTTCAACTCGACACAATTCAAACACACCTCACAGAGTGCTCGGAACGGTTCTTCAAAGCTGCAGAAGAGCACTCTAACACACTCATTAGATCGGCGTCGGGATACGCTCCACACACTCCATCTCGATTCAGGCCCCGCAGGCCCAAACACGCACTCACAGCCACACACAATAAACTCACGCGCGATCTCGCGGCCCTCTTGGCCGCTGAGGATCCAACACCCGCGGTGAGTCCCCCCCGCCCCCCCGACACAGAGAGGTTCGATTCCTCTCAGTCCCCTCCCGTTTCAAGTGCACATCTGAGTGCACTTGTCCTCTAAGCGCATTTTGCGTTATTTTAAACTATGCACTAGTTTAAACTAACGCAGCGCCGCATCATCCCCCTCTCGGGGGGTGATCGCTTCAGATGAAGCTTGTAAGGCCCTTCTGGCCATAAGCATGAATTAAGGGTGTTTTTTAGTCAGTAAGAGTCTGACATAACCTTACAGCCGGCTGTAGGGTATCCATGAGGATTTCTCACCCTCTCCCCCGCCTGGGAGGAAACAAAAAAAAGAAAAAAAGAAAAATGCGTTTCAAAAAATTTTTGACGGTTTTTTTGAGTTTTTCAAAAAACGCCTACGAGTTGAACATGCCCATCGCCAAGGTGGCTTACTGACGTCATTTGGCAACAGAAAAAACAAGACTTACCCTTTAGGTTTTTTTTTCACCACTCAACCTACAGATTGACTGTACTATTAAGTATATCGCGTTTCTAGTCTTTCAAATATCGAAGCACGAGAAAAGCAATGCTTGTTCGGCATCTAGTAACTTCTTGGTATTATGTGGATTGTCCCAATTTGTGTTAAGTTAGTTAGTCGCAGATTTACTAACTATACTCCAAAGTTGCGATATTGCAACCAGTGTTGCCAACTCGGATTTTGAAAAAGGCGTAGGCCCGATGACAAAATTACGTAGAATTAGTAAAAATTGCATATGAAAAGTTCGTAGATCTACGTATTTTTTTTTGAGAGAAGCTAGTTCGTTAAAACGAGTATTTTGTTATACAATTTATTTAAAAAAAGGAGATAGAACATAGAATTCTTGGAGAAGACTCTACATTGGCAGCATTTACCATGCTGTGGTAGACATTTACCATCAGACACAGACGCTGCTAGGTGTCAATTTGACATAATTCTCTAAACTTAGCACTAAATTTAACATCAGTCTCTCCTTTTCATTCTGTATAAAGAATGACAAGAATACACTGTTGTCAAATAGGCTAGTTGACCCTTTGAAAATATGTTTTAAAATGGTTAATAATTGTTATATTAGACCGAAAAAATGTATTGTAGTAATTATCATGATTGTATTATGCGAGAATGTAGAAACACAACGTTAAAGACTCCAGAAAAGTTGTAATTTAAATTGCCCAGAGAAATAAACATATCTACACATGAACACATGTTTAAAACTTGCTAAATCCTGTAACTTTATCGACTGAAAGTCATTTCTTTTTGCATAGATCACTTCGGTGTAAGTACTGATTCATTTTTTTTTTAAGTTTATTAATGTACCTACTAAGTAAGAGAGCTTTGTCGTTTCTGCTTTTACAAATTCGGCGTCCAGCATTAATTTAGACAACAAAACCAATAAACGGAAACTCTTCTACAAGATATAAGAGTCTTTAGATATATTTTAGTCCGACGAAAGAAACCATAGTAACACAACAATGACGTTTAGTTGTTTATAAATTTTGTGACGTCATTCTGAATTTATGAAGTGAAATCGATGTATTTCAGTTCCTCATACCAAAAACTATAAGAAATAAACATTTGTATAGTTAACGGAAAATATGCTTCCCTATTCTACTGAGTTATGTTATTTTGCAAATTTGTACAAATTAAAAGAAAATACGTAGATTTTGGGACTGAAGTTAGTAGGTTAGCAGAAAAGGCCTAAAATACGTAGATCTACGTAAAAAGACGTAGAGTTGGCAACACTGATTGCAACGGCGACTCGCGTAGTAGCGTTTTGTTCTAGCAAACAACATTGAGTTACAGTTGTCGATTGGTTTAGTTGCGAGCGATCGGCACCCCGCTAAGTCCATTGTCGTGTCTGTTACTACCTGCCTTCTGTTACTGTTTGAATAACCGTCGGTGTATTGTTAGTCTGACGGTGGGGAGCCCAGAGAGTCCTGCCATTGTCCCGAAGCCGTCAACACTTCTCGGTAAATGAATGCGAATGCGAAAACTGGGACGTTTATTGTAGTTAGATTGTCGACGGTCCAGGAAATGTGTAAAGGAAAAATGAAAAACTTAAATACGGAGCAGTTTGGCTTGCCGGCTATTTAAACCTAGAATAATAGAATGGATTATGTAGATTTGTTTTGATGTATTATGATAGTGGTTAGGAATCAGGAACAAAAATTACTGTTTTTTTTTTAGAGCCAATTCATTTTATGTGATGTACCTACTGTGTTTATGTCATATTCATAACAGCAAAACTTTATTTTTGTAAAAATGTAACGCTTAACCCTCTTTTTTGTTAACACAGGCAAAACCTCTATGTACAGACGACGGCGCCTTTAAGAGGCACACCGCCGAACGGACCTCAGTCCTGACTACCGCAAGCCTTACGAGCCTCCGCAGTGGCTGCCCACTGAGGACCCCGTAACTGATTACTTTATTTATACGTATAAAAGATTTTGAAAATGCGCGCATTTCATGTCCTTTTATACTCCCAAACCAATCATTTGTTTTATTGAAATCAACTATATATATATATATACCTATATATATATATATATATATATATATATATATATATATATATATATATATATATATATATATATATATATATAGGTATATATATATATATATAGTTTTATTTGATTTCAATAAAACAAATGATATATATATATATATATATAGGTAAAACTAAAACTATTTGAGTAAGAAGGCCTTAAAACATTTATTTGACTCTGTAATAGAGTTAGGCCGACCAACGGCACGTCCGAACCTCTGTTGATAGACAAGTAAAGATGTTCTAGATTATCTAATAATAAAAGGAACGAGAGGAAAGGTTAAATTAAAGGAAAGATGGTCAGGTAAGGTGTCTGGTAAAAAGGGGATTACAAAGGGTTATTTTGAATGATTCCGTGAAAATTTACAGAGGCTTTTATCAATCTGGACTTCGCTCTGTAATTTTTAGAAGAAAATATAACTAGAAAAAATTCCACGCGGACCAGGGAGCAGACGGGACTTGAACCCCCACCTTTCGCAATCCAGGCGAATGCACTGACCAATTATGCTACCGCAGCCCTCACGGACCGCGTCCAAATTCTTCTAGCCATTCTTAAGCTGCAACGCAGCGCCATCTCTTCGCATTATAGGTAACCCACAATGTCAAATGAATACTTTTACAAGTATTAAACATTTGAAAGAAGAAATAGCAATTATAGTTATAATTATTATTATTTTAAAGCATGTAACTGCTTGTTGCTTAAATTTAAAGAAAATATAACTAGAAAAAAAATACACGCGGACCAGCCAGCAGACGGGACTCGAACCTGCACTCTTCGCAATCCGGGCGAATGCACTGACCAATTATGCTACCGCGGCTCTCACGGACCGCGTCGAAATTCTTCTAGCCATTCTTAAGCTGCAAGGCAGCGCCATCTCTTCGCCTTATAGGTAACCCACAATGTCAAATGAATACTTTTACAAGTATTAAACATTTGAAAGAAGAAATAGCAATTATAGTTATCATTTTTATTATTTTAAAGCATGTAACTACTTGATGTTTAAAGTAGTTTCATAAAAGTGATAAACTTAACAAATGATGCCACACATGAACAATACTTAATGCTCCATGCGAAGGTTCAAAAACTGAACTGAGAATTGGATTATAATATTTGGATTTAATAAAAATGCAGGCTTTAACTGGACTATTTGATGTATCTGGGCACTGTATCACGTCTAATCCTGGAATTTGCTTGACAACATTGCTGTTGCCTACATATGGTTCACTTACTAAAGCTATTGTATATTTGTTGTGAGTCATGAAATAGTGTACAAATTCGTGTTGCCACTGGTAGCCGCGTCCTACATTACATTGGATTATATAAATTTTCTGGGCTTTGTTATCCATTAAAGTTTATTTTTAGGTTGATTCTCTGTCTGAGTGATTTAATTCTAGGACAGTCGTCGGACGTAGCTGCGTGTCCTGTGTTGGCTTTTTTGTTGAACTTGCTGTTGTGCTGGGTGCAGTTGTGGCATTTTCTTAGCCCGTTATCACTTTTTGAGGGACATTTCTCGAAAGTGTGATCGGTAGCCGCACAGTGTGAGCACATGCTGGTCTCACTTTTGCAGTTGGCCCGCGTATGTCCAAACTGCAGGCACCGGAAACACTGTAGGAACGGAGAGTAATTGGGTACATACACCCTTTCGTAGTCGACATTAACCCTGTCGATTTTCATGATGGTATGCCATACCGCTAGGACAGCCATAAAGACAGCGTTATACCGACTTTTGTGGCGATTTTTACGAGTAAAGTGTAGCTTGAGACACTTTTCGTCTTTTATTGTTTCCCCAACACTAGGGTTTTGGACTTTGATGGTTTCGACCAATGATTCCGCTGCTGTGTCCCTTGACACACCCTTCAAGATAAACTTAGGTCGGAGTACCTTAGGAAGCTCAGCGGATATCTCTGAAGCACCCTTCAATCGGTTTAATGTCTCGTCCCTCTGCTGTGCCGTATCAAACTCGACACGCAGTTTGAAGTTGGAGAGATGAGGCACACCCGCCGGTGCGTAACTGACTTTTGTAAAGTTAATAGTCCTCTTAAATGCTTTGAGTACCTGTTCCTTGTGTAGAGGCTGGTCCTTCGTGATAACGATCAGACAGGGCCTATTCACCCAATGGTGGTATTTGAATAGTGGGTCAACTTTCAACAACCTACGTTTCGCCGATGACATGACCACAATAGGGGCCAATGAACGAGAACTGTCTCTCCTACTGCACAAGGTTCAAGACGTTAGTGTGGAATAAGGCCTTTGTATAAATTGTGACAAAACCAAGCTTATGTTTGTCGATAGAGCTGGCAAATTGTCAAGAATTTTTGAGCTAAATGATTTTGACACAGTTACCAGTTTCTAACGGGGCTGTGTGCTGTAATTTTCGCCGCTTTCTCGTGGTGCTACTTATTTGTCGATCTATTAGTAGGATCACAAGAAATTCCTATTGGAGGCCGAGTCAATGATAAATAATATATAGAGGTACTCTCGCTGCATTCGAAAAAAAACAAAGAAAATATTTGAGGGGATTAAATAAAATAATAACCAGGTACAATACCTAAAGTATTCACACCATTATAAAAAGGAAACATTCAAACAGCGAGCAACAGTTAAAGTACAACATTTACAATAAAACATCTTACAACAAAGTTCCGTAATGCAGCACGGAACTTTCGGCTAATTTGCTGTTTAAGCGTTCAAGTGTGAAGCCGCGATAGCTCTGCTCTTAGCGGGAACACTGATTACATTGTTGCTCGTTCAAATTGAATACAGTTCCATTTTATTTCACGAGGCTTTTTGTTGGAACAGAATATGTGGCGGGACAACACGCATGGGGCGTAAAAAGATGCGGAATAATGATCGTCGTATGCAACGTATGCCGCCTTTCATGTTCGAATTCGTTTTGTTTGACATAAATCCTTTTCAGCCCAAGTGTCAGGCTGGGCCAAGTGGATTTAAATCAAGTAATATTTTAGATATATTATCCAGAAGTATCAATTAATCCTAAAATAAATTTTACTAGAAAAAATATTCTCGGTCCTGCGTTCAGACGTGATTCGAACCCATATATATCTATCGATATCCGGGCTAACTTGTTAACCAATTTGCTACCGAAACCTTAACGGCCGTGTAATAATTATTAATAATACTGTGATAATTATTATAATGGAATCATATTTCATTTAAGTACGTAATGTTTATATTGAAAATTGTAAAAATATTTAAAAAAATATAGTGGATTTCTTATAATAAGAATCACTCAAAAATGTTAAATGCATTTTGTAGTACATTAAGCTGCAGAATGCCTTTAAACATATTATAAGAGCTATTTCGTATAACTTGGTTAGTAAAATAATTATTATATGTTATCTATTTTGTGAAGCCCACAAAATTGTGCTAAAAAGTTACTTTTTAAACTATTAAGTTACTCAAATGACTTGTTTATTGCGCGCCATTGCTTGTGCTAAAAAGTGCGGGTAGTGGGGAGAGGTTTTCCCTTAGCGCGGCACAAACAGAGAGCGCCATTAAGTCACGTAACGGCGAACGGAGAAAGGTCTTAAAAAGTGTACCTAGTTTTTCGATTATAATAAGTAATGAAAGAATTAAGTAAAATGTGAACAATATAATTTAATGCTATCATAATTCAGTTATGCATCGTTTAAGTATTTCACTTCCACCTGAGTTTATGATAGTCGTTGTAATACTTATAATATTAAATAATTATTCTTATTTTGTGCTTTCCTTATGATTATTTCTCTATCTCGTCTCGTTGTTACTGTTATGTTTAAGTTTATGTATATACCTAACTAGTTAGAAATAAAAAAGTGTGTTCTCGTGAAGTTATTCCACGCATTTGACCTTGACCATATGTTTTTTATACCACTAGAGTGTGAAAAAATTGCTTCTATAGGCTATGGTCGCCGCTTACCATCAGGTGGGCCATATGCTTGTTTGCCAACCTTGGTCTCTACTTCGTCGAGCCCTTGAAACCTTATCCAGAACACAACACCACCAAATTTCACTGTAGTCTTCTGTAAGGTAAAGGTTACAGTTACAGGTTCCTTGTCAGGACTGCGGAACCCAAAAAAGAAGGAAAATAATTTAGGGCTGATTTGAGATCGGGAAGGGTTGGGGCAGACCTTTTAAGGGCGGGAAATTTCTTATGCGATAGTTGGGAATTAAAAAATATAAAAAAAATGGAAAAATTGTAGGTAACTATTTAAAAGATCCACAGCTTTTGTATTTACAACTGTTAAACATTACCTAAAAAGATCTGCGAAAAATCAAAATAACCGAATTTGGTTCTTCATCGTGTTCCAAAATTTTCCACATTTTACCTTTTTAAAGGCATCCGGGTCAAGTTTAATTTATTGTAATTGTCTGTACTGGTATCATTTCATGTAGTAAAAGGCTCATCAGCTGCTCATAATTTTTAATGAAATATTTTTCTATCTTAGCTTCAAATAAGATAATTTTAACAGCCGCTTTTAGAGAAGTCAATCAACTTTTAAGTTTGATGATGCTGTCATTTTCTTTGCAATAATAACATGTACGCCGCGTGATTTAATGAAGCACTAAATTAATTTAACGTTTCTGCGTACTTAAGGCTGTTTGACATTTTTATCCCTGCCAGTATTTTTTGTGTGCAAACTAAGCGCTTCAGCCGTAAGCTTGATTTTATAAAAACGTGCTATATCTTCTACCCGAATAAACTGTGTAAAATACACTGTAGATATTGAAACGAAAAGTGATTCTGTATTTTTCATTTATAAAACCTACACTCGAACGATTTCCAACTGAAACCTTTCGAGGGAGCTGATAATTATCGTGTTTTGAAAGAATTTTATATGTATTGTTTTTTTTTTTATTTTAACTCGTAGTAACTCCGTGATCATGGTGCGGGCAACAATGCCGCAATATCGGAAACTCGGAAACTTACTAAAACAAGGTACATTGTAATAATCCCGTAAATAACTTATATTACTAAAATTTTATATGATTTATCCGCCGAATAATCCAACGTTTAATTTCCGAAATATTGCAGTATTTCGTCAGGTTTCCTCGAGCTATTTTTAACAAGGTTGACTCGGTAGCTAGCACTGCAGTCGGGAATCCTAGGCATTTTGTTTATTTTGTTATAAGAGTTTAATCTACTTGATCCGGCTTAACATTTGTCCAGTTTTTTAAAATAACATTATTATGTTATACCTACGTATTTGTAGAGATTTTTTTGTTTTGGCTCATGCGACAACAAATCAAAGAGTATTAAGTTCACAATTTGCGTGCCGCGACAAAAGCCATACCTGCCTACATACTGCGGAGTTGTATTGTAAAAGTTTCCATTGAGAGTGTATGGAGCCACGTAGGCACTATTGTGCCCGACCTGCGACAGAGTTGTCGTCACTGTATTGTTTTCAACGGGACAGGATTGTTCTTTGGTGCAAGTTTTGCGATTTGAGCGGGCATGCAGTTATTTTATTGATCTTTACGATAGGTTGGCCATAGCATAAATTCCGAAAGAATTTACTACATGAGATAGGGTACTTATAGCAAATTGTCCGCTGGGACAAGAGTGATTCTTTTGGGGAAGTACTCTACACCTTACAGAAGACCACAATAAAATAACACTATAGGTGTAATGGTACTATTTTCTGTTGGTGAAAAGGGTTCCCCGTTTTAAGCACAAACGCTAAGACCGGCAATTTGAAGATGACTGGAGCAGCAACTTTTCAGATCCCCAGATATATGTATACATCTGATAACCTATTATACTGACACATTAAAAAGTTACGACACCTTCGGATCTTGGTATGGTTAGTTTTAGTATTAGTGTACTCGTCAGTTAAGTATGATCCAAGAATTGACAACACAGCCAAACAGTATACATCGCGTTTCTCATAATTTACACAGCATCATCCGTCCCAGTCAGTCTATACAACTGCAACAGTAACATAACTGAGGAAATGAGAACTATTTTGTTTATCTTGTCTGTTCACAGTGCTGTGATCCCCGGTCTATGCAATGTTTACCATTTCAAATCTCATTAGAAAGTGCACTCGTACATACCTTTTTATTTTTCTCGGGGATGTCGTGGTATGTACGTCGGGTTTTAAGGTGTCGCCTTTTCAGAGGTTCCCGGGATTGAATCCAGGCAGGTAAAATTATAACGTTCGTTATTTCTATATAGATAAACTTATATATGTATTCTATCCTTTACCCTAATATCCCATAACACAAGACTTTCAGTGCTTTCTTTGGAGCTAGGCTAATCGGTGTGAGTGTTAGAAATGTTTGTTTTTTTTTCTAATAGTTTACATTTAAATGAAATATCGTGTACTTAGTTTCATTATAAAGAATCCCGTTGGGAGGCTTATACTCAACAGTCAGCAGGGCGTCGCCTGTATCCCTTGTATAATGACAAAATATTATCATTTGATACACTTAATGGTATCGAGAAGATATAAGTATGTAGCGGTGCTATATAATTTGCTCGCGTTCGGTTTCAGGTCGTGAAAACTTTCTCAAGGGCCGGTCATAGGATGGGTGACCAAAAGTTTATCAGCTCGAGCTGCAGATGCATTGAAAGGCACGTCAAGATGTTGGTCCCAACAATCTGCACTGCATCCGTGTGAAAGATCATATCATGACCCGATTTCACAATTTCATCCATATGAAAGGCCTGTGTTCCAGCAGAGTGGTCATAAACAGGCTGATGATGATGAATTAAGAAAAATATACTTATGTACTTACTCAGTGCCATTTTTTATAAAACGCTGCCACTCACCCCGCGCTAGTAAAAGAACAAGACAATAACATTAATGAAAATAAACGCTTTTATACTTCTTCAATAAAAAGACTTAAATTTTGGTTATCTTGCAGTGATTGTACGTGTGGTGGGTGATTGTTATTCCTATAGATAATGTTACGTTCATAGTAATTGCGTTTAAAATCTATCTCAACCATGTTTCAACTTCAAATGGTAGGTACGCTCCAAATATATGCAATGATAAAACGCTCCAATTGGACAGTTTTTGAGCTTTTATTTTATATAATATCATTGCTTAGACCCAGAAAGATATAGAAATTGGAAATCCGACAAACTTAGAATTGTAAAAGATTATTCCGACCGTTCCACTATCATGAGGTTTATCATTCGCAAATCCTGCAGTACAATTATCGAA